TTTATTTATACAAGCACTGGGTTCAGTCAGAAGCATGGGAGGGTGAGAGAATTCACCAGAGCGGGGAACAGAACAGACAGACTGACAAAATACACCGCTGAGGGGAGCAGCGGGCACTGCAGGAGAGGTCTGTCGCACCATGTGAGACCCTCGCCGGGGGGCCAGGATCAAACTGGTGCTGCAGAGGCTGTGGGCAGCTTCGCAGACCAGCACTCAACTGCTGCACCACGAAGGGAGGCCCTTTTTGCACATTTTTAAAATTGAATCATGTATTTTCTTATTGTTGAGTTTGGAAGTTCTTTATGTATTCTAGCAATAAGTACTTTGACAGAGAAGTCATTTGCAAATATTTTATCTCACTGTATATCTTGTACTTTTATTCTTTTAACTATGTCACAGAGCACAAGTTCAAAAATTTTATGACATCAATTATTTCCTTATAGATCATGCTTTTGCTAAAATAGGAAATCTGTCACTAACCTAGGTCAACAAAATTTTTCTCCTATATTCTAAAAATTTTTCAGTTTATATTTAGATCTAATATTCATTTTGTATTAATTTTTGTATGAAGTTTGAGGTTCAGTCTGAGGCTTATTTTATAAGGTTCATTTTTGTGTGTGAATTGTTCACTTGTTCCCAAGCCATTTGGAAGACATCTTTTCTCAAATTATCTTTGTACCTTTGGTGGTTCTACTTTTGGACTCTGTTCTGTTCCACTGATGTATGTGTTTATCTCATTACCAATACCACACTATCTTTGTTACAATAGCTTTATAATTAAGTCTTCACATCTGGCAGAATAATTTCTCCAACTTTATTCTACTTCAAAATTGTTTTGCTTCAGTTTATTTGCCTTTTCATATAAATTTTAGAATTAGCTTCTCTATAGCTACAAAAATTTCTTGAGTTTTAGATTGAAATTATGTTAAACTTATACATCAATTTGGGAAATATTGATACCTTTATTATGTTGAATCTTAAAAATCCATGAACATGGTATGTCTCTCCATTTATTTAAATCTTTGATTTCTTTCATCAGTACTTTGTAGTTTTCAGTATACAGATTCTGTACATGTTTTGTTAGGTTTATAACTTAGTATTTAATTTTTGGAGCTCTTACAGATTGGGATCACTTAAAATCTTTCAGTTTTATAATTGTTATTGATATGTAAATGGATACCTTTGGTGTGTTAATCTTGTGTCCTGCAACCTTGTGAAACTCACTCAAGCATCCTAAGAATCTTCTTTTATATTTTTTGACATTTTACATGTAGACAATCACGTTTCCTGTGAATATACCATATCTTTTCTCCTTTTCAATTGCTGTGCCTTTTAATTCCTTCTGCCTGTTTGCACTGGCTAAGACTTCCATTGATGTGTTCAGTATGGATGGTATGAGCAGACATAATTACCTAATGGTGAAAACAAGCAGTCTTTCACCATTAAGTATGAATATTAGCTTAAAACTTGTAGCTGCCCTTTATTAGGTTGATGAAGTCTCTTTTACTCCTAGTTCATAAGCATTTTTCATGAGTTGGTGTTAGATTTTGTTGAATATGTTTCTGCATCAATTGATATAAACGTGTTTTTTTTCTTCTGTTAATGTTGTGACTTATATTGATAAACTTTTCAAATATTGAACAAGCTGTACATTCATGGACTAATCTTACCCTCCTCTGACTGCGGTGTATAATTCTTCTTATATGTCATTTAATTCTATTTGGGAATACTTTGTTGATAATTTTTATGTCCGCTTTCATTTGGAATATGAGTCTATAGGAATATGAGTCTGTGGAATATTGGTCTGTAGGGTTATCTTGGTCTGCTTTTGGTATCAGAGTATTACAAGTCTCATAAAATGGGCTAGGAATTAGTCTTTCCTCTAGTTCTTAGTTGTTGTTCCTGGAGCCTGAGGTCTCTTGCAATTGTGTGCTCAGGTGAGAACCCACAGACAGTGACCTGTCCTCTTATCGGGCACCCCTATTGTGTGGGTGATGTATTTGTATAGCCTTGGTTCCTGTTTTTGGCATTTTGGCCTTTTGGGGCTTTTTGGTGGCTCTCTTGTCTCAGATCCTGGGCAGGTGGGTGGCTGTTCCATCCTTGCATCCAGCCTCCTGCCTTGCTGCCCTTTTGTAGCCCTGTCTGCCCCTGTTTCAGTGAAAAGGCACTCTTGGGAACCCCGCTATACAGATGAGACCTGTTTTCTAAATGGGAGATTCCCTTATCTATGACATCGCCTTTTTGTTTTTCCTTAAGTGTTAATACTTTGAAGGGTCCGAAAATAGGAAACATCCCCATTAAGCATGAGATTCTAGGGCTTAGTCTGTAGCTGACAGCAAAAGTAGAAGTGCAAGATAATAGAAGCTGATACCACTTTCAGCCCATTCTTCTCTCCTTTGCAAAGCACTGAATGACAAGCCGATTTCTCAGCTCCAAGCATGCAGTCACATTCACATGATAAATGTGTCTCTGGACAGAGGAGCTTGTTGAGTGATATTTACCAGGGTCTCTGTGAAGGGCCCTTAGCTCCCAAGGGAGCACTTCAAGCATTTGGCTGCTCCCCTGTTCAGCTGACACTTATGGGGCGGCAAGAGGAATAAAACTGCATTCTCTACTCTCCAGTAGTACAAAAGCCATGGTGTTTTGTTTAAATGCTCAGAAATGTCCTGGTTTCTCTCGCTTCCTATATTCATCCACTCCCTACCCTAGTCAAACCCCAGCAGAGAGACTTGGAGTCTGTAAGAAGCTTAGACCCCCAAAGGGATAGGGAAGTCAGTGCCAAAGACCCAATCTGGGTTCAGTTCACTCTACAATTTGGTGCTGCTTGGCCAAGTTCCTTGGCGACTCTGAACTCCAAAGATACAAGATGGAGCTGATAAGAACCTCCTCTAGGGTTTTGTATAGATAAAATTAAATTCATATAACAATATTTTGCACACTGTGAAATGCTCTCCAACATCATCATCTACTCATTTATTCTGCAATTCCTCACTGTATACCTACTGTGTGCCATGCACTGTGTTGTATATGAAGGGCCAGTTCCAGATGGTATGGGCCAGGAAGCAAAGCAGTCTGATGGCTTTATCAGTTATCATTGAGGTTTTGGGGTGAAGACAGGGAACTGGTGCAGAAATTATCACTCTGTGCTGTCCCTGAGACTGCTACATTCTTGACATTTCTCTAGGGCTTCAGCTCCTGGGAACCATTCCTGGTGACTAGACATTTGCATGACCTTCTCCATGAAACATGGTTGAATCGGGACTCTGTGCTCATTTACCAGGTACATTACTGCAGGTTTTTCAGAGAAACAGAACCAGTAGAGGACACACACACACAGATTTATTATAAGAAATACACTCACATGATTATGAGCAGTCCTGCAGTCTGCATTCAGCGAAATGCAGTTACAAGAGAGCCGATAGGGTAAATTGCAGGCCAAGTCCAAGTCTAAAGGCAGAAGACTGATGTCCTAGCTCAAGAACAGAGGGACTTCTCCCTTCCTCCATGTTTTTTGTTCTATTCAGTTGAATGAGGCACACCCACTTTAGGGAGGACAGTTTGCTTTTCTCAGCCTATCAATTCAAATGTTACAGCCTGAAACCCTCACAGACGTAACAGAATAATGTTTAACCAAATAAGTGTCTAGGGATGGGGAGGAGAGGACAGCCAATTCCATACATAAAATTTTTCATCACACCAGGTTGAAGGTCACATAGAGTGGTCAAAGTTTACCAGGCAGCTTCACATGTTGCCTCTCGGCTCCATGGCAACTCAGTGAAGGGTTCCTTGCCTTTTCCTGTCATGAAATCCTGATGTCACAGGCTTGTCATGGCCATTGGAGGCAGGTCATGTTTATCTGAAACCAGAATCAACATGTGCAGGACTTGTTCCCTCTGAGGGAAAGTCCATTCCTTTCCAGATCCATCTTCCCCGTGTGTGAGAGACTCATGCGTCTGTGAGATTATCTTCTTCCTCCAGTGCCCTGGCTCTCTGCGTTCTTCCACACTGGTCCTTAGTCAGCAGGAAACTAAACAAATGGTGGTGAGGACTGAGAGTTATCTGTGTCCTAGATGTCTTCACTCAGTATTTCCACAAAATCTGAGTATAGTCATCATGCCAAACAAAGGTGAGGACTCAATGCAGAGTCTGCCTTTGTGTCCTTGGTAGATGGGGAGGTGTGGTGAGGTCTGGCAGGAGGACTGCAGGGGGGCGGCGGTCCTTTGGAGCCTGTCTGGGTCTCACTGGGCCACAGTCACAGCCTTTACCTTTAAGAAGCTTTTTGTCATTTCAATGATGCTGATGAATGAAGGCACTCCTGGGTATTTCTGTTTATTTAACACTGTGATTTGTTCTGTTACAGGCTGTCATAGGGGAAACATGAATTTATTAATTGAAAAAATGTAACATGCTCATGAAGAACTTAGAAAATGGACTTTAATTAGCAACATTTCTTAAGCCTATGTTTCAACAGAGCCCGCTCTGCCTGGCATTGTGTCCACTTGTGTGTGTCTGTCTTCTCATTTGGAAAATGCCCTTTTAGGCTGAGTGCCTCCAAGCCTAGCATGGTGCCTGGCACATGGTAGTTGCTTAGTTACTGTTTCTGGAATGCCATGGAATGGAGCTCGTGCTGGGGGGATTGCACACAGCTTCTCACCTGAGCCAGCTCACCAGACACAGCAACGGTTCCTTCAACACACTGTTGTTGAGCACCTAATGCCTGCTGGGCATATCCTAGATGCAGGGAGTGTGATACGGTGGCCAGGCACAACTCCCTTCACAGCTGAGTAGGGTGACAACCAGAAACCGCCAACCAGGGTGCAGCTTGAGAAACACTGGTCAAAAGAGGGCCATAGGGAACCCAAGGAAGGTACAGGGTGACACCACCTAAAGTAGGTACTTTGCCAGGAGTCCATTGGGCCATGGAAGAACATGGGACCTTGACACTGACATCCATAACTCTGCACTTTCTCTGATTGACTTTCTTTGCAATTTCTCTGCAGAGCCTGTGCCAGCAGTGAGACAGAGAGCGAAGCCGGAGACCTCATGGATCAGCAGTTTGAAGAGATGAACAATAAGCTGAACTCAGTAACTGACCCCACTGGCTTTCTGCGAATGGTTCGCCGCAATAACCTCTTTAACAGGTGAGTGCGGACTCTGCCTCACGTGCCCAATGCTGGCAGGGCATCCTGGCACAGACAGCGAGTTTCTGGCTGATGCTTCTACCTGCTGCCTGGGCTTCTGGCCCATGTCTGTGTTTGCAGAGGTGAGCATGACACCACCACAGTCCCATGCTCACCACAGGCCTTGGCATTGCAGCAACACTTCCTGGTCAAGTGACAGATGATGTGATGATCTGCATTTGGTTGTGATGGGAGATACAGGGGAGGGCTGGCCTCAGAGTTGACCTCCTGAGTGCCAGGCAGAAGGCAGGCAGAGCAATGCCCTCTTTGCTGGTAAGTCGTGGACCATGTACCTGTATTGACAATGCTGGCCTGAGACTGAGGGGGCCCAGGGAGTGTGGGACACAGCATTGCTAGAGGAAGAGCTGATGGACACAGGTACACCCTTCTGCTCTGGAACCTGATCTCTCTATTACTTCACTAAAAAGACTTCAGTGGCTTTAAGGTGAGCTGAAGGTGAAATTGCTAACTAGCCCAGCCCTGCCTGTTTTTCTCAAGATGGCAGCTAAGCCACATCCAGTTAAAAAGGACCAGGCTATTGGGATGGAGGGGCACCTGTCCCGCTGTCATTGGTTTCCTGGCAATAACCTGGGAATCACCCTTGGACAGGTCTTTCCAGAAAGACATCCTGCATTCTCTCAGGTCCCTGCCATAACCTGAGGGCCTGACTTTAAAGGGCAGCAGGTGAAGCCTGGAACACAGAAGGAAAGTGGCTGTGTTCTGGGTGGATACAGCCTCTGCCAGGCAGCCCTACTGGATGGGGCATTGTGTGCCCGTCTGTCCTACTCTGGGCCCTGGTTTCCTCTCATTATTGTGCTGTCAGGGTGACAAACGTGTTTACTTTCCCAGGGGTGAGCTGAATGGGACAGGAGCCAAGGGCAGGTTGGTTGAAAGGCGGCCAAAGCTGATTCACCCTCACATTCATTCATCTGCCTCACCCCTTCACAGGTGTCCCTCCTGGCTTTCAGTTTCACATAGGGACAGGAGCAAGGGTGGGATGGTGGGTGATGATGATTCACCATTGCAGACTCAGAGCTCAGGGCACAGGTTCTGGCCTTGCCACCTTTTGTGACGCTTTGGGAGGCTGATTTCACACTGCCAGCTCTGTTTCCTCATCGTGGAAATGGGGACAAACTTACCACCTTGCAGGATTCCTTTAATGTGGGAATTAAACAACAATAATATCAGGCTTCCTACTACTTAGGAGGTACCAATTCGTAGTGACTTTCTGCTGTTTGAATAAAGGGGTAGGATAGTACTGAATTTAATTAAGATAGCATGGGTGGGTGAACTTTGGAGGGGATGGAAATTGTATGGACCATTGCGGCCTGCTGGTATTGGTCTTCTTGGGTTGTGGCCTCACCGGCCCTTCCTCTTCTGTTCCACCTCATGTCCTGCATGCGAGAGAATGCCAAGGGCAGATGATCAGGTGGCCAGGACCTCCCTGTAGACAGGTGCACCAGGTCAGGACCCCACTCCCAGGACCTCAGGCACCACAAAAAGAAAGGTATCAAGTCACACACGGCTGGGACTTGAGCTAGAAGGGTGCCGCCTTGTCACTGACAGGAATGGCTCAGTGACTTTTTCCGCAGATTCCTCCTGTGGGCTAGGGCTTGCAGAGGGCTGGTCCCCTGGTGAAGAGGAGGCAGCCATGCATGTGGGCCTGGTGTACACAGGAGCAGCCAGCTCCCCTCTGTGGGGCCCTCCAGCGACACGATTCACCCGTTCCTTGGCCCTGCGGTTCTAGGGTGATGTGCTGGACTGGTTGGCAATGAGGCTGTTGCAGCTAATGCAAGTCAAGTGGAACTTGGCCTTAGAGTTTTCTATGTGGCCACTCCAGGAACTAATCTTTGCTCTGCCTTTGCTTTTGGGGTCTTTGTAACCACGTTTTTCTTCTTGCCTGTGCACTTTGACAGAAAACGCATTTGCATGTCAAGTTCAGGCTTGGGGAGTTATGTGAGGACTGAAGGGGGTGTCTTAGTGTGTGGATGTATGTGTGAACACACAGATGGTGTGTGTGTGTGTGTGTGTGGTGAATGTGTATGGGGTGCATGTGTGAATGTACTGTGTGGGGTTTGTGTGCCTGAACCTGGTAGCAATCAGTAGGTCACGTTTATTATAAAGAGAGGAGGGAGCTGGGACAGGCTTTCAGGGGCACCTGATTCCAGGGCCATGCCTTGGCACGAGAGGTGTGTCCATCCAGGACCAATTAGGACCCATATTCCAGAGAAATGTTCTGACTTCTGTTGTCAGAATTTTTCCACATTATGGTTTGTATGAGTGACTGGTGTGGAGAGGGACTTTCCGGTTGCTTAGAGATTAGTGGCAAGAAATGAAACAAAGGCCAAAGAAGTGTTAAGTGTCCCCATTCTCAAGAGAAATGCCACAGTGGGCCCCTTACATCCCTGTGACTCCAGCCAGCACCTTAGCCTGCCATCCCCCATCTGCCCCTAAGGGGAGACAGAGTGGAGGGGCCAGCAAGTGAGACCAATAGAATCACTCACAAAGACCTGGGGACCTGAGAACGAGGGGAGAGATGCCACCATCCCCGGGCCAGCCTTTACCGACTGTGGGCCTGGAGAGAAGAGACAAAAGACGGGATGGCAGGCGAGAGCGGCCCGCGGGGATGTCCGCTGCCCGCATCTGGTGCGGCCCACTCGTGTGCCTTTCTCGGTGCGTAGGCTGCACGGCTCAGTCACTTGCTGAATCCCCATCCAGGAGGCTGCCTGCTGGGCAGAGCACTCACAACCAGAGTTACGGGATGTGCAGCCAGCACCAGGCTGTGCCCACATCCCCGATCAGATCAGGGTGGATTTCTCTGTAACCCTCAAGGCCCCAGGAGCCCTGTGTCTGGGAATGCCACAGTGGCTCTCAGGAGCCAGGGAACCATGAAGAGGGTATCGGGTGTCTGCCTTTCCCTGCCTGCTTCCTGCCCGCCATGCTGGCAGTAGGGAGCGAGTCATGCTCCTCGAGCCCACCCTGCCCTCCAAACCCTGAGCAAAGACACCTGCCCTGCAGTGGAGACGGGAGGGCCATGGTGTGCACTGCATGGGAAGTTGAACGTCTAAAGGTGTGGGGAGAGCAGTGACTGGAAAGCAAGAAGTGTCCCCACAGGGTCTGTCTAGTCAGCGGGCTGGAAACCGGGCAAGCCCGTGTCATGCTCCGAGTTCTTGCCACGTGTGCAGCTGTGGGGACGTGTGCGGCTGCGGGGACGTGTGCGGCTGCGGGGACGTGTGCCTGTGGTTCTTTATAAACACGTGTCACTTCGGCTCCAACCTGCAGCTGTGAGTAGATTGTAGACGGGGGCCTATAGGGACAAGGGTTCCATCTACCCCTACATTCCTGGGTCTAGGCTTTGTCCTGTGGTGAGGCACAAGGCGGGCGGAGGAACCATGGGCTTCGGGGCCAGGCAGACTTGAAACCTGCCTGTCTCTACTTTGCATTAGTGAGTGACCTTGAGCCATTTATTTTTCATCTGGAAAGTGGGAGTAAAAACGCCCCCCAATAGAGTTATGAGGCTCTAATAAGTGTGATGACGAGTGTGTAGAGCCTGCTGTGTTGTCAGCAGCTGCTGTCTCCCCCCCTACTGTGTCTGAGGTTCCTGTGGCACCCCTTAGTGGGGTGAATCATTCACTTTTCAAATCCGATCTCCCCCTGCAACCTGATACAGACATACAGCTCCATGCTTCCTCCCCTCATCACCTCTCTCTGCTCGTCCCAGTCCCATCCGAGAGACTCAACAAATGCAGAGTGATGACCCTACTGGGTCATCAGCTAAGGCGGCAGCCCCAGCTTTGAGCCCGAGCTTCCACACTCAGCTTCTGGCTGGCGTCCTGTTGGCCCATCCTCTACTCTTTGCTGGTGTCCAGGTGCCTCCAGAGCAGGACTCTGTCCTACTTTCCTGCTGTCCCCGACAAGAGGACTGCAGGGTCTCTCTACTCTGACCTGGGCCAGCCGCCCCATCGCTCACCCCCTCATGGTGGTGATTTCACACAGAGACTTTCCCTGCCAACAGCTGTTCCAAAGCTGCCTGCGGTGTCCAGGCTTCAGGCAGGAGCCTCTGTTCTGGCGTGATCTGTCAGAGGCGCAGCCAGCTGCCCCCTCAGGGGGCACCACCTCGAGGGGCCCGCCAGCCCCCTGTGTGCTGGCTCGGGTGCTCACTCATCTGTGCGCCTCTCCAGGCAGTGCAAATGCAAATGAGGTGCAGGTGTGAAGTCAGAAATACCCAAATCAAGCCCATTGGATAGCGACAAGTTTGTTCATGAGGCAGAGGATTCCCCGCAGGTTGCTTCTAAGTATCAAGCTTGCCAATGTATTTTAAGGCACAATTTAATTTATGAATAATGTTTCCCTTATCCCTTGTTTATATTTCACTTTCTTGTTCCAGAATTTATTTAATACAATTTACCAAAACATACAGATGCTACCAGAACATATGAAAAATAAATGGATTAAAAAAACAAAAAGAAAGGGAAAAAAAGAAAGGAAGTTTACACAGAGAACACATGCCGTTAGCACTGCTGGAGATGGCACGGGTGGCCTCTGAGCTGCTAGCGGCCCACACAGAGATCATCAGCCCAACTGTCGCAGCCCAGGCCCAGACCTACCCATTTGATCTGTGTTTGAACCAAGTTCCTGGCTGCTTCCTGTGCAAGGTGAAGTCTGGGAGGTGCTTTTTTGTCTCAAGCTGTGCCTTCTGCATCCCTTTGGCCCTCACGGTACCCCCAACCCCAGTGACCTCGCACTCCAAATGCAGTTTGCCGCTGAGACCCTCGGGTCAACCTTGTAACATATCTGGTCTCCTCTCTCCTTCCATTGCCGTGACCATTTCTTGAGCACTCCCCCCCTCCCCAGAAATCACCACCTAATGTTACCCTAGGAGCGAGCTAGAAGGGCCGCTGATGCTCAGGGAGGTCATTGCCGGAGTCTCCCAATGGGTGGTGTAGATTTGGGCTCAGCCC